CTCAACTATAGGGGTTGTCTTAAAAAACTGCCCTCAACTATTTAACTCTAGGAAACCTCCTCTAATTTGGTGTTGTAGATAACCCCTATCAATTTTTATAATACAATTTAAACCCCTTCTATTATGAGGTGTACTCTCACGTAACGTAGGGGTGTCCATCCAGGCCGGCCCGGCCCAGGAAACCGGACCCGGGCCGGGCAAAACCGAAACCCGGACCCGGGCCCGAGCCTGAGCGGGCCGGGCTCCGGACCGGCCCGGTTTTTTTTATTTTTTTAAAAATTTTAAAAAAATAATAAATCATAAAATATACATAAAAATTACAGAAAATGACATAAATTTTTGGACAAATTTTTTAAAACGACTGTTTTTTAAAATTAATTAGTGAAACCGACCCCTCAGAAAAAAATTGAGCAAAATCGACCATATGAAGTGCACGGGACTGCTAGTCCCGTGCAGTTCTCCCAAATTACGCGATTTTGCTCAACATCGCGAATCCTCTTCCTCCGTTCGCAACCAGTCCCCCGCTTCCACTTCCACTCCGTTCGAAACCAGGTGGCTGGATTCAAAGTCCAAAGTCCCAAATTACGCTCAACATCACGAATCCTCTCTCTCCTCTGTTGTCATCCTCTCCCCCTCTCCCGTGACCTTCCGTTCTCCCCCTCTCTCCTCCGTTCTCATCCCCCGAACTGTACGGTTGGACTACCGAGTTTCTTCCGGTTTTTAATGAGTTGCCCTGATGAAGGTGACGAGTGAGCCCAAAGGCAGCTCACGCTAGTCCGTGTGAAGTAGTTCCGCACGCGATCCCGCTCCTCCCTCAACTTCTCAGCCCACGTGCCTCCAAAGCGCGATGACAACCCGAATCCACGAAACCAAACCCGAACCCATGCGTGAATCCCTCGTGCATCTGGTGATGGCACCCCGCAAAGATCTCGATGATTTCGAGTTACCTCCACGATCCAGTGCAAATGCTCACCGCTGACGGTGTACAGGCCGATATCAGGTCCCCGAATCAACTCACTCGTCTGTGGCGGCGACGGCCCGGGTGTGGATCTGAGCTGAGGTGGAGGCCGAAGGCGCGGTGAAGGAGGGGGCTGATGCGTGCGAAAGAGGTGGTGCTGTTGGCACTGAGAGGAGACGAGGGAGAGGGCTAAAGGAGGTGGCGTGCGAGGCTCATGCGGAGGCCGGGCGATTGAGAAGTGACGCCGTCGGAGAGGCGTGGCGACGGCAAGCGATGGGAGAGCTCAGGGCGGCAAGCGTGGGGAGAGGGCGAGACTGAGAGCGATTGGGTGAGGAGAAGAGGCGCAGATCTGAGGGGAGAGCCGCTGGGTGAGCGTTCTTGTGGCCGCAGCCGATAGAAAGCTGGCGAGAGGCGGTCTGTTGAGCTACGGCGTTGAGAGAGGAAAGGGAAAAAAAGAAGAGAGATGAGGAGAAGGAGCTGAGGGAGAGGGGAGGGGAGGGGGACGTTTGAGTTATTTGGAAAATCGACCTTTTTTTGCACGGGACTACTGGTCCCGTGCAAAAAAAGGTCGATTTTCCCAAATATTTTGTTAGAAGGTCGGTTTTGCCTATTAAATTTGAGAAAAGGTCGTTTTTCAAAATTTGTCCTAAATTTTTTAATAACTTGAAATGACATAAATTACAAGTACCAAAAATTATAAAAATAAAAGATGATAAAAATAATTTCTTTATTAATAATCAGTAAATCCTTTATAAGTATAAATTTATTTCGAAATTCGTCGCATCACAATAGATGAGTAAATCCTAACTAGGTTGGTACCTACTAACCCATATCACTATCATTTGTAACTTTTTCCGAAATAATTCATTACAAATTTAAAGTCAAAAATAAAAATTACAATTTGATGAATATTATCTAATCTTTATATCTATCTGCTAGTCTCAACTCTTCAAATTTATCTTCAATTATAGCAATAAGATCGATACATTGTGTTCGCTTCTCGTACCTCCACCAAACTTGTAAGCACATCACCGCTTGTACAGTATACGGATCTAAGCATGTCCTGTGATCGTCGATCAAACGTCCTGCTGTGCTGAAGGCGGATTCTGAAGCTACCGTCGAAACCTGCACTGATAGTAAGTCACGAACCATGGTGGAAAGTATAGGATATGAAACTGATCCATATACTCTCCACCATTACAAATATCTAAAGAACTTCCTTGACATTTAACTAAGGAAGCAGAAAAATATTCATCTAATTCAGAAACCTCTAATCCTGAACCAATTCCAGATCCACAGGTTAGTTCAGCTACCATTGCATACCTATCAAAAGTTACAATTTTACCCCGACATGTGCTCGAAGCCGAAAGCGCTAAAGCTGTAGACTGTTGTGCAGCTACACCATGTCTAGCTGCATACTCATCATATAATGTTTAAAAATAATTTCTAATAGATAAATGATGAGAAGTAGCAGTAAGGGTGAAGCCATCATATAAGTCTATAATCTTTCCACTATACATTGACTGTAACAAACTTCGAAGACCAATATCCTTCAAACATGGATCAATAAAAACCCCCAAACCAAAAATATGAGGAATAAGCCTAAAATACTTATTAAATTTGTTCTCCATTTGAAAAATTATATTTCCAAAAATATCATCCATACTATATTTGGCAAATTTTTTTTGAATATTTAAAATTTGTAAAGCAGCTAAAGTAATAGTTGGATAATAACAACCAGATAATAACATAGTAGCATCATAAAAAACTTGTAACATCTTATTTAATTTACATATAATTGTCCATTCATCTTCACTTATTCCATAAGTGCTACCAGAGCTAGAAGTAGAAGCATAAAAATTTATAAAATTATTTATAATTTCTTTATATTCTATTGTTACACTTAACATTGCATGTGTAAAATTCCACCTATGGTCAACATCTTTTAAAATTAGTCTAGGCTTATAAGTTTTTCTTTTACAACATTGTTTCCATCTTTTAATTCTTATTTCAAAAGCATTATGCATATTAGCAACTGTTCTAACCTTTTCTATCATGGGTTTAATTTCAGAAAATATACTTTGAACAATTAAATTTAAAATATGGTAAATACATCTAACATGAAAAGGTCACCATGACATGGTAATGACAGAGTTGTTTTAATAAAATCAACAGCTACATTGTTATTACTTGCATTATCTAGTGAAAGAGAAAATATTCGCTCATGAAAATAAATTTTTTAGGGGGCGATCTGTAGGGTGTACGTTAGCAGGCGATTTTCGTCGCTAACGTGCACCTCCGCCAGGTTTTGAATGAGGAAGAAGAAGAAGAGTGGAGAGAAGAGATCTACTAGCAATGAGATTCGCGATTCAATCTTTGCTTATCCTCCTATTTCTAATGTAATAGTAGGATTGAATGATGAGGAAGCTTCATCGAGCTTTGTTATAGAGATGGAGAGCACAGGTCCTAAAGGTGCTAAAAAGAAGATGCTGATGAAGGAGGTTATTGCTAAATCTAAGCCACTATCAGATCCGCAGCCGCCTTCGTTGAGATCTGGTCTCCTGATCTCTCGACAACTAGGTAAATCTCCTACCCCTCCTCTTTAGGCTGATGAGGTTGAAGAAGATGATTTAACAGGGAATATTACTTTGGAAGATGATGAAATTCTAGATCTAGATAGTAATGATAGATCTATGAATGAGGAAGCTGAGCTGGATAAAGTAGATGCTATCGATTATTCCGATCTCTCATCCAAGGGAGTTGATGAAAATCTAGAGAAATCTCCTCAAAAATCTTATGCTAGTCTGTTTACTGATAACAAAAAATGTGGAAATGGTTTGAATCTAAATTTTTTACCACCAGCTCTAGATAATGCTGTAACTTTTTCTATGGAGGAATGGTGTGAAGGAGAAGACTACTGGAAGTTTGCTCTAATTGGTCACGTAATTGGGCTCAATGTTAGATTCAAATCTATGGAATCATATGTCAATAAAGTTTGGGGGAAAATCTCTATTCCTAAAGTTCATTTAATCAAACAGGAGGTTTTCCTATTTGAATTTCAATCTGAAAAATATATGAGAGACATATTGGAAGCTGGTCCTTGGTTTTTTAGGGCTAGGCCTTTGGTTCTTAAGCCGTGGACTATAGATGCTGATATTGAAAAAATGCAGGACTATTGTTACCCTATGTGGATTCAACTCCCAAATCTAAGACTGAACCTATGGAGTCCTACTGGGATTAGCAAAGTAGCAAGTATCATAGGGAAGCCAATCACTACTGATAAACTCACAGGAACAAGGCAAAGATTGTCATATGCTAGAGTTCTTCTAGAGGTTAAACTGCCTTTGAAATCCCCCCTTCCTGATCATCTTACTATTAAGGGACCTGATGGTGTGAGTTTTACTCAAAAAGTAATATATGAGCTGAAGCCAAGGTGGTGTGATACATGTAATGTGATTGGCCATATGACAGATCAGTGTCGAAGGAAAGCTGGTAAGAAAATATGGGTTCCTGTTGTTAAGCCACAAGTTCCTGTTGGTGCACGTGCACAGCAAATCCATGCTGAAGTTTTAAATGGAAAGGATTCTGATATAGGAGGAAGTAACACATTTATTGATAATAGAAAGCAAACATCTGCTAGCTATACATCAAGGGAAACTGCTGGGAAATCTCCTGAAGTTGTAAGAGGGAGCAATACAACTCACATTATACAAGCAGTAAGGAATGCAATCTCTCATGATGTGAATGGTACTAGTTTCTCTAGTATTAATAGAGAAAATTATGAAAGAAGAGCAACTTCAAAAGCAATTGAGACAGGGGTGTCCTACATTCAAGCTTCACACTTCTCCCCTCTGATATTCCAGGATCATATTTTAGACCCCTCTAACATGGATAGGGGTGGACCTGGATTATAATGCATTTAGCTATATGAAATGTTAGAGGATTTAATAAATCCTCTAAACATCAGATTATAAAGCAATTTATTCATCAATACAAGCTTCCTTTCTTGGCTCTTTTAGAAACAAAAGTGGATATTAATAAGATGCAGTGCATTGCAAAAAAAGTGACAAAAAACTGGAGCTGGATCTCAAATGCTCATAATGCAAATAAAGCAAGGATTTTGATACTTTGGGATAGTGATCTACTCTTTGTACAACTAATCTCTTCCTCAAATCAATTCATAACTTGTAAAATTGAATCAAAAGATGGCAGGTTATCATGTCTTATTTCAGTTGTGTATGCATTCAATGACATGACTGGAAGGAAGGAGCTCTGGCAGGATCTAATAGCCTTCAAACAGCAAGTTAATGGACCATGGATTATTGGAGGTGATTTCAACACAGTTGTTAAAAATGATGAGAAAATTGGAGGTACAATTCTATCTGATTCTGATTTTGAGGATTTTCAGAATTTCATATCTGCTTGCCAGCTTGTGCATATAAAAACTACATGATGTTTTTTCACCTGGTGTAACAAACAATAACCTGACACAAGGATATGGAGTAGGCTTGATAGAGTCCTGATAAATGAAGATTGGCTTAATCAGTATACATCAAGTCAAGTTGAATATTTAGTGCCTAACTGTTCCGATCATTCTCCTGCTTTAATCACAATAGGACAGGAAGATTTTAGGGGGAAAAGGCCTTTCAAATACTTTAAAATGTGGAGTACTCATCCTGATTTTCTTCAAGCAGTTAAGAACATATGGGAGCAAGATATTAATGGCTATCAGATGTATAAGCTCCATACAAAACTAAAGAAGCTCAAGCATGTTCTGAAGGATCTGAACAAAAGGAATTTTATGAATATAAGTGAACAAGTGCTTAGGGCTAAAGAGGATCTTAATGTGATTCAGCATCAACTGAACTCTGATCTCTTCAATCCTGAATTGATTTCAAGAGAAAAGGATTGTCTTGTAAAATATGTTAGATTGGTTAATTGTGAAACCTCCTTTTATAGACAAAAGGCTAATATCAAATGGGGAATCCATGGGGATAAGTGCACACAATACTTTCATTCAATCATGAAGGCAAAGAGACATCAAAATAGAGTTCTGTCCTTATACACTGAAGATGGAATCGGATTGACTGATATGAATGAAATTATTGCTGAATTCATTGGCTACTATGAAAAGTTATTGGGCACTGCTGTACCTGTTGCAAAGCCTGATTATCAAGTTATTTCTAATGGTCCTATTCTTTCTACAAATCAAAGTGTTAGCTTGAGCTTACCTGTTACAAGAGATGAGATTAAGCAAGCCATTTTCTCCATGTCTGATGATAAAGCCCCTGGTCCTGATGGGTATAGTGCCTCCTTTTTCAAAGCAGCCTGGGATATAATTAATGAGGACTTTTTTCTTGCTGTTGAAGAGTTTTTCTATTCTGGAAAGATGCTTGGTACCTTGAACACTACATCAATCACTCTTGTGCCTAAGATACCCAATCCAAAGTCACCTTCTGATTTTAGGCCAATCTCTTGTTGCAATTGTGTCTACAAGGTGATCACTAAGATAATTGCCAACAGGATTCAAAAGGTGATGGGGGTTCTTATCAGTGATGCACAGAGTGCATTTGTCAAAGGCAGAGCTATTTCTAACAATATCCTTTTGGCTCATGAACTCATTAAACATTATGGTAGGAGACAGTCTTCACCAATAGCTATTTTAAATATTGATCTTAGGAAAGCTTTTGACACCATTAACTGGGAATTCATTAAAGATATGTTGAAGGGTTTGGGATTTCCGGATATCATGATTGGTTGGATAATGGAGTGCATTTCAACTCCAAAGTTCTCCTTATCAATAAATGGCTCTCTTCATGGATTCTTCAATGGTGCTAGAGGACTGAGACAAGGAGATCCCCTCTCCCCCTATCTATTTGTCTTAGGTATGGAGTATCTTTCAAGAAAACCCAACTCTCTAAAAGATGATTGATTGTTTAAACATCACCCTAAATGCTCCAGGCTCAACATCACCCATCTGTTTTTTGCTGATGACCTCCTTTTATTTGGAAAGGCTGATATGGGTTCTATTGCAAGGCTATACTCATGTCTTCAAGAGTTCAGCAGTGTATCTGGGTTAGAAACAAATCCAAATAAGTGCTCTGTGTATATAAGTGGTGTTGATGAAGATCTTAAAGCTCAGATTTGCTCCTACTTGAATTTTTCTGAAGGTATGCTGCCTGTTAGATATCTGGGTATGCCTCTTGTTACAAAAGGCTATCATGGCTGGACTGTTCCCCTCTTATTAGCAAGATGTCTGAACAAATTCACAGCTGGCAAAAACAGAGAACTCTTTCTTATGCAGGGAGATTACAACTGATTAAGTCAGTGATTTTGGGTATTCATGTTTTCTGGACAAGCATCTACATTTTGCCGACAAGAGTCCTACAGAAAATTGACAAACTCTGCTAAAATTTTCTATGGAATAATAAAATCCCTCTGGTTTCTTGGACTAAAATCTGTCAGGATAAAGCTCATGGTGGTCTAGGAGTTTATTCGGCAAGTACATGGAGCTATGCTGCAGCCGCAAAACTCTTGTGGATGATCCACCTCAAGAAAGATCTACTATGGATAAAATGGGTGCATGAATACTATATGCGTCATACAAATATCTGGCAGGTGAGAGCAAGAGTACATGATTCATGGGCTTGGAAACAGCTTACAAAAGCTAGGGATATGATGCTTAACAAATTTGGATCTATTAGCAGACTGCAAAATGTCATTAGTAGTTGCAGTTTGAATGACAGAGTAAAAATCTCCTCTATTTACAGGGTTTTACAACATTCAAATCCCATTGCTGAATGGTGCAACACTATATGGGATGGTCTTCAAATTCCCAAGCACTCTTTTATCTTATGGTTAGTTGCTCAATCAAGGCTTCTAACCCAAGATAGATTGTGTCGTATGGGGATTATCTCTTCAAATCAGTGTGCATTATGTTCAAACAACTTGGAAACCTGCAGTCACTTGTTTTTTGAATGCCAGTACTCAGCTACAGTTTGGAACCTAGTGATGGACTGGTTGAAGTTTAACTGGAAATCTTGTAACTGGGATTCCATAATTAACTGGTTCAGTCACAGTTTGAAAAGGAAGAGGAATTTTACAGAGAAATTGAAGCGTATGGCTCTAGCTGTATCGGTCTACATGCTATGGAGTGAGAGGAATCTTCGAATTTTCCAGGAGAAAGCCAGGCAACCTGACATTCTTTTTCGAGCCATTAAGATTACTATCTACTCAAAAATCCTAAATGAAAATTTTCCTTTGCATATAAGAGATAGGATTAGAGAGATATAACTGTGTTCTTTCTAAAGTTGTGTTTCCAGGATAATTCCTGGATTTGAAATTGTACAAATTCTCACTTGGTAAATGAATAAAAGCTATTTTCATTGACCAAAAAAAGAAAGAGAAAATATTCTTTAATCAATTTCTAGTTTCATAAGTTCTTCAATTATTAAATTTACAATATTAATATCAGTGTGTGACTCTTCAATTGCAATAAAAGAAACAACTCTTTTAAACATTTGCTAATTTTTATCAATCCAGTGTGCTGTGATACATAAATAACCAGTTTGCATTCTAGATGTCTAAATATCAGAAGTTAAAGAAAATTTACAGTTTAAAATTTTAAAATAAGAAATTATTTTTCCTTGTTCCTCCTGATAATATTTTAAAATATCACGTTGACAGGTTTGATGAGAAAATTTTGTAAATGCGGGATAAAAACCATCTCTAAACAAATCTTTAAATTTATCATTTTCTACTGATTACGTATTTTCTAGCTCGGGCAGCGTCATAGTTCCAACTATCGAGGGTACAAGAAGAGGAGGATTGGGAAATCATAGATTGTCGGATATCACCTTGAAAATTCTGGTATTTCTTGAGTTTTTCTATATGGCGTTTGAGATGGTTGGTGCCGCTCTTATGATGAGCTTGGAAAACCTGGCCGCACAACGCATATTTTGCCTTCTGGAAGATGATCCTACCGTGTTCATCCTTGGTGACATCTATCTTCTCAAAAAAATTCAACACATCGGATCTCAGTCTTTTAGGAGCTCTTGGTGCAGTAGATTTATCGCCATCAGATTCAGGATTAACACCGGTAGAAGGAGGAGTTGTTGTAGGAGGACTCATCTCTGGATCGGTAGGAGATAGGTTTTGCTCTTTATAATCAGATCCAGAAGCCATTTGATGGAGGTATTAGAAAATATAAGAGATTATAAGATAGTATAAGAGAGTATAAGATTGTATAAGAGAGTATTAGAGAGAAGTAGATGAGTTTTGTTGTGAGAAAATGAAGTGAAACCCCCTCTATTTATAGAGGCAGTCCCTAGGCAAATGACCAAAAAACCCTCATATTCTAGCCGTTTTTTGACCGTTTTAAGGGGCAAATCGGTCAAATGGCCAAATATGAACGTTTGACCGGTCCAGACCTGGACGGCCGGGCCAGCCCTGCATAAACAGTCAGAAATGACCGGGTCGGGCCAGACTGGGTTTTTTCGACAACAGTCACCCCAGGGTGACCGTTATTGCCCAGGCTGGGCCCGGACCACCCGGCCCAACGCCGGACCGGAGTCGGTACTATTCCGGGCTAGGCCCAGGATCCGGACCGGACGAGTTTGCACGGACCCAGTCCCGGGCCCAGACCCAGATTTGGCCCCGGTTTCCGGGCCGACCCCGGGCCCGGGCCGGGTTCTGGCCCGGTCGGGCCCGGGCCGCAGACTTTTTGACACCTCTCACGAAACTATCCTCATCTCTACAGTGTTCTCAAATGACACTCGACATTATTAATTTAAAAAGTATAATGACCTTGTTGGAAAAACACGTATGTAAATCGAAAAACCAACCTTTAGGGCTTGTTTGGATTGAGGGGAATGAGGGTGAAGGGAAGTTAGGGGAACCATTCACCTCAGGCCCGGCCCAAGAGGGGGGGTAAGGGGGGGCGACCGCACAGGGCCCCAAATTTTTAAAAATGCCCATAGTATATTTCTTAATTCTTTCCAATAAGTCTTTTGTTTGTTTAAAAAAGGGCCTAATAATCTAATACTAGCCCACTAAATTAAATAATAATTTATGTCCATTGCCTAAGCCTAACTGCCTAACACCCATGACCCATCTGATTTACATTTTACCGAAAATATACACCAATTAGTACTACAATTATGATTAGTTGCTCATTTGTCTCCTAAAGTTTAGAAAATTCAATTTGAACTCATTAATTCCCAATTAACTATTCCCTATTAACTAGGAAACACACCAATAATGCTAATGTTGGAAAAGATAGATATAGATTCTATTATTGATGATTTTGCATCAAAAAATGCACGAAAACATCGTTTTTTGTAATTTTTGTATTTTTATGTATTATTTTTTTTTTGTAAAATAAATATAATTCAATAAATTTATAGTTCAACATTTATATAGAAGATGGCCTCATTTTATCATTTCGCACAGGGCCTCAAAAAAGCTTGGGCCGGTCCTGATTCACCTCCATTCACCTTGTTTGGGAACACTTAGGAGGTGAAGTTAATTCACCTCCATTCACCTTGGTTCACCCCCTAATAGTATAAAAATTGTTACCCCCCAAATTGGGGTGTAACCAAGGGGAAGAGAATTCCCTTCCCTTCCATTCCTTTCACTTCCCTTCCCTTCACTCAGTTTCCCTTAACTTCCCTTCACCCCCTACGAATCCAAACAGACCCTTATGGAAGACCACAATAATTAGTTTTGAATTCAATGGGTTTGACGAGGGAACATCATCTTCAGAAATCCCTCAAATTTCAATTTTTATAAAATATTAGAAGCATGAATGAGTATAACATAAACGAAGTTTGAAGTTTAAATAATAATAATAATAATAATAATAATAATAATAATAATAAAATAAATAAGTTTCAAAAAAGAAAAAAAAATAATTTAGGTTCAGATTTGAACATGGCAATAGCGCTGGATGAAGAAGAGGGCGTAAATACATGGAGAGGTACTTTAACAAAAAAAAGTTAAAAAGTGAGAATAGAGTAAATTTTTAATCTCTGAGATGTAATTTAGTCATTTTAAACCATGTACTTTGTACGCTGCTCTGTTAGATTTAATATTGTTATTTATTATTATTATTGTTATTAGTTTTTTTTTATGTTTAGCCGTGACTTTAAAAGTTAAGGAGGTTATCTACACCACTCCTAAAATTGAGAGGAATTTTCTAGAGTAAAAATAATTGAGAGAGATTTTCTGAGATACTCCCTACAGTTAAAGGAGGCTTACTAAAATGAGTGGCACTAGGGGCACACCCCCAACCACACCTCCAATCACATCATCTCTCTCATTTGCTACAGTGTACCGGGTTCCACATGAGATTTTAAAAATTTTAAAATCCCATGTGGGGCCCGGTATACTGTAGCAAATGAGAGAGAGGATGTGGTTAGAGGTGTAGTTGGGGGTGTGCCTCTATCATTTTCCTACTAAAATTAACCTTTTTAATATTGAAATATATAGTACACCAAGATTCTTAAATACGTCAAAGCAAGCTAGCGCGTGCAATCCGTTCTAGTGATAAAGGAGTACGATCGACCATCAATGCGTCTCAAAAGTCAAAAGTCGCCTTTTAATTGGTTAAGTGCCTTCACATTACATAGTTCACAGAGTTTAGGTTTTTATAATGATGAACTGCACTTTGCTTTAAGCCATCAGTGCCCTTTGCTGAGGACAATATGCTTTCCTATTGTGGAAATTTTAATCCCCTACCGACCTAGAGATTCTAATGGCGTGTTAGGGTGTGTTTGGATTTCAATGGGGTTAAGGGAAGTTAAGGGAAACTAGGTGAGAGAATAGAAGAGAATGGAAGGGAGATCCCTTCCTCTTGGTTACACTCTAATTTAGGGGTAACAAAATTTATACTATTAGGGGGTGAACCAAGGGGAACTAGGGTGAATAACTTCACCTCCTAAATGTTCCCAAACAAGATGAATGATTCCTCTAACTTCCATTCATCCTTATTCCCCTCAATCCAAACAAGCCCTTAGGGAAGGGAAGGAAGGGGAAAAATTCTCCTTCCTTTCTTTCCACTCCATTACACCCCAATTTAGGGTGTAAGAATTTAAGCTAAATTTCCCCTCCATTCCTCTCTTCTAACCTCCAAAATGAAATTCCCAAACAATGTTAAAATGAAATATTCCTTCCCTTTCCTCTCTCTACCCTCCATCCAAACAGGCCATAAGTCTTTAAACAAGGCCCCGAGCTATGACTTTAAAGTTTAAAGATTCCCTATTTGCTGTGGAGTTAAAAAAAACAGAGAATTAATTATAGTTAAAAGAGTATTTTCCGCACACTATAAATTTAGTGGACAGAGATGTGTATCATTTATTTGAACATTTATGACGATATTGAGCCCTATCCTAATTAAGTGCTATCAAGGAGATCCAACCATAATTATGGAATTAGTCATAGAACATGGCACTACGCCTGGGCCCAATCATTTACAAATTCTTAACAAGTAACCTGATTCAACTTTGAGTTTCTTTCAGGGCCGTCAATTACTTTGTTATTGTTGTTGCTGTTTATGAAAATTACGGACTCGAGAAAAAAATTCACAACGTTCCTCACAAATTTTATTTATAATATTGTGGCATCTCAAATTTTAATACTTTCTCATGTATATATGCTAAGAATTCATAAGAAGACCAAATCAATGAATGACACGAATGATAATATCGTTTTGACAAGGGAACTTTCTCGTGGCCTTTCTAATCGTGGGTATCAAACCCCTAGGTGTGGCTAAGAGGCACCTCCAACACGTGGCTTCAGGTATTCCAATAAATTAAATTATTATGTGTGCTCTTTAGGAGAGTCGAACCTAAGACCTTGGAGTACTACACATAAGTAGCTTGCAAACTTGGCTAGATCTCTTGGGTATAATCTAGTGTTGTTGGAGCTTATAATAAGTTACTTATAAAAACAACTTATAGAAGCAACTTATATAATTTGTTAAAAATAGTTGTTTAATAATCAACTATCAAAAATTGCTTTAAAAAATTATGATGTTTGGTAGAAATGTGCTTAATAATCACTGTTAAAAGAACACACACACACACACTAGAAAGAGCAGAAGCTGCTTCTAAAAGTATCTTCAGGTTCCTTGTAAAAATGCCCTCTTAAAAGCAGGTATCTTCAGGTTCCTTGTAAAAATGCCCTCTTAAAAGCAGAAATAGTTTCAAAACGCATATACCAAAAAAGTTTTCGCCAAGCACCATTGTTGACTACTTAAGAAAATAAACAAAAGCACCCTAAAAAAACAATACCAA